TTTGTTTTGCCCAATATACATTCTATAAATAACCTTGAAAAAACAGATTATTTGACTATGTAACTAGGTATATAGTTGTAAATGTCTGCATCTGTGATTTCTCAGACTCATAATTACACAGACTGCATATATAAAAGTGATATGTACATTTGTACATACATATACATAGCACCTTATATTGTCATTGATATCTTCCTTTGAATAAGTTTTCTTATTTGTTAAAAAATGAAATTCCTCATTCTTGTAAACTGGTAATCTCAGTAAGACAAGAAAGGTTGTGGTACTGCCTTGACAAATTCCTCAGAACACACTCTCAAATCTCAGAAGGCTCAGAAGTACTAATTCCTGGTGTTGTTTCCAACACCTTCACTAGAAATTACATCTTGTCTTCTTAATCTAGATTTGATGTTGCAACTGCTGTGATAATCAGGACATTAAAACTGCGTATATCAAGAAATATAGTTGGATTATGAATCTATTTTTTTTTTAATATGTCTGTCTGTAATTACCCATTAGTTGCTTGGCTTCACTACATGTTCCTTTAGGACAAACAAGAACATAAATATTGAACAATTAATTCAGCTTTACTTTTTTGCAAGATTAGTGCACATAGACATGTTGTTAAAAAATGTACCATTATCTGCCCCTGGTGCACTTCCACTTCTCCAAGATTTACACAGCAAAACTTATGTCTATCAATACTAGAAACCCCATACTTTGGAAAACATTTTCTGCGCAAGGATTCCTAGCTGAATCACAAGGGCTTCCGTTTCCAGAAGAAACAGTCCCATTTCAAGCAAGATTTTTTCCAGTCTGGTTGAACTCTACTTAATTCGCATTCTAATTATTTTTTTAAATTAAGTGTAGTATAGCTGAAGCTTGATAAACGTTTGAGTACAAACAGCCTTTTAGTTCTAAGCATTTACAAACTAGAGCCACATTTTAAACTGGTTACATATTCATTTTATTGCTGATACCAGACTGTATTTCTATTCCTGTTTGCTTTTGCGTTTTTATATTCTCCCTTCATTTTTTTCTGTAGTATTAAAAAGGGATTATGTAATATGATGTTCTGGTGAATGCAGAACCTTTTCTACTCCCTAATAAATATTCAAAAATATTTTGCATACATCTTGTGAACAAGGCTTGTGAAATCATAATGGGATGATTTATGAGCATTCAACTTCCCTATACTGAAGTATAATCTAGTCAAATGGATGGTATAGCAAATCATCCTGACACATTTATATTAATGCATATTTAAATGAGAACAAGAAAGAAATAGTCAAATTTATGTTAAAGACTTCTAAAGGCTTAACAGCATCTTACTAAATACGTATGTCAGCTTAATCTAATCCTCCTACTTCTGTGCGTTCTGCAGTCTCAGCATGGTGTCCATAATGCTCTCATATGTTAGCAGGGATTGCTTCTCAGAAGTTCGCCATCAATACTACACTTAGTTCAATAAAACTTTACATCTGGTCTTTGGATGACAGAAAGCTGTCTGTCTCAAATTTGCATCACAAACCTTTAGCTTCTTTTGACATCAGTAACACTTGCTATAGCAATTTCCAATGATCTGTTACAGTAGAGTGTATATAGATATACATACATATATGTACATACACACATTCTTTGTTCTCATCTTACTGTGTCAGGTACAAACAGGCTTCTCTAATTTATTTGGACTGTTCCTAATAAATGTTCAATTTCTTTGCATCAGAAAAAGCATTAGTCTCATCAGAAACTTATTTGAGATTATCTGTGGCAGCATTCTTTCACTCAAGTGGTTTTAAGTTTTACTCTAAGAAAAAAAAGGTAATTATTTCATTTTCATGCTTTTGCTAGAAGAGATAATACACTATAATTCAACCTCTTTCAAGAATTCTTCTAGGTTATTTACCAATCTTATGACATGATGGAATTCCACCTGAACTTCAGCAAGACTGGAGGAATAGTTATTTCCTCATCCTTATCTTTAATAATTTCTATCTATTCCATTACAGGTACATCTGTCTGATGTGCTTTGCATTAAAAATATTTGAAAAGCAGTGTCTAGCATCCCCTGTTAGGTTATTAATATTATCATTCCCCAGCAGACAATGGATCTGATTGTAGTTGAAAACTCCAAAAGGACAGGTCTACTTGTGGGACTAGCAATGTCTAACACATGTTGAAGATCAAACATGTCAGTAATGGATCATCATACAGATGGTTAGCAACCAGCGCTACCTGAGATGAATTAATAATTGGAACTGAAAAACTGCTCTCTCATTATCATTTGTGTTCTGGCAGCCATATCAAGAGAAGAACATTTTTAAAACTCCATGCATTAGGTTTCAGATTTTCATGATCAGAACATTCCTGCTTTATTCAGTTTCTTAGTAGAACACTTCTCTTTTTGAAAAACAGCTTTACCTACCATTGATCAGTAGTGCAAATAATTTGTGGCAGCCAACTGGGCACAGAAACTAACCTTTGGAAGTAATAGATATTATTACAAAGACATCTACACACTCAATATCTTAGAAAAGCCTATAAAGGCAGGCATAAGCAAATTTCAGCTATCTTCAGAATTGTGAAGACGCATAATAGTTCTACCTTGTATATCAGGACTGTTTCCTCTTGTGACTTGCCTGTCTCATTCTGATTCATGCATCCATGAGCACTCCAGAAGCAGAAGTTGTTTATTTGAACTTGCCTAGGTGTTTTAAATGTAAGCATCTAAATTTATTAATGAATAATAAGGTAATGAATTAAACTTCTGGGTAATAAAATCATCACTTTTCCTGTCATGGTGCTGAATCCAGATTTAGGAATAAGGCTGAAAAGTTAATGGCTATTTGTAAATGAAACTTGAGGGCCACTTTAAAGCGGAAAAAGGACATAAAAATATACTACAATAAACTGAAAGAAAGTATGGCCATGGGAGCTTAGCAATCTCTGAACAGTTAAAATACTGTAAGAATCAAAAGGAAGGTCTGATTCAGGTATACAGCCTATAGGGACTCTAGAGTTAAACCAAACTATTTTATCTTGCTTATGGACACTGTCTAGGATATAAAGAAATGACTCTTGGAGTCCTTATAAAGTGCTTGTTTAACTGAGTGTTAATATATATTTGAGTACATTTTCAATTATGAGAAATGTAATTACAAATATAGTATAAAAGACAGTCAATGATATATTTCATTAATAGGCTTAATCCTTTTGAAAGGCAAGAAGGTTTCACTGTAGCCTATATGCCTTTCAAGGCACCAAGAACTGGACACTTAAAATATTGCTGTGTCTTAATAATATATTAAAAATTACCCTTCTGGTTCAAAATCATGTTATGTATATACGTAGCAGTCTTGAAACTAACAGTAAAAGACAACTTTTAATATGAGAAATTATGTTCAAATAGCATATTCTTCCCATCACACAAACTTTCTGGAAATTTTTCCTAAGTAGACAAAAGTTATTTCTGAAGTCTTTGTCAATGAATTAGTGCTACTTGTACGTTTAATGTATTCTATATATTCTACAGATTGGAAGAATGTATTTCTTATCCATGAAGATAATGATAAAATTGCTATAATGACAGGAATTATTATGACAGTATAGAGATCTGAACACAACTAGAATGAATATACGAATATCAAAACAACTTTCTATATCTGGGCCATTAGTAGTGTAACATGAATAAAATTGAATTTTCATGCACACAATTTACACATCATATTGTGCAATATATTTAATAAAGCAAATTAAATTTATTTGGAAGTAATTATTTTATGGCCTGAGAAATATAAAAAAGAGAGCAGGCAAAATGATAATGTTAATCCCATGCCAGAAACATGTTTTATCAGGTTTCCTTTTAGCTCTTAAACAAGATGTAGTAAAAACAACAACATTCTGTCAGACTATATGTTCATTTCTTGCTTCCTGGATTAAATATGCTTATGCTATGCCACATTTTTATAGCTTTCAATTCCTGTACTTTAAACCTATTAAACAATGTCAAGTTGAATTTTCTTCAAAAACTGCTGCAGGTTAAGAAAAAAAATAGGACAGTAGAATATTTGAGCACTAACATTTATGTCAGCTAATTAATATGGATCAGTTGTGGTTTGCAAAGATTTTAAAGTGCATGCATATTTGAGACAAATATAGATGAAGGATCTGTTTTAGCTCCTTCTCAGATTGATAGAAAGCTCTTACTGATTTCAATACAAGTATGATCTACCAGTTTTGTATGCCTGACAAATAAAAGAAGCTTTTGTGCTCTTGCATAATATTAGTTTTTCCAAATTGAGTACAGCCAAAAATACAGATGTACCACATAAGAAATAAATCATAGCTGCAACATTGTATTGTTTGTTCTTTATTCTTTTTACTTGATAATGGAATGTGATTTTGAAAAAACTAAAACTGGGAAAAACATTAAACTTCTTCACGTAAAAAAATCTGTCTAATTAACCTGCTAAGAAATTAGCCTATTTCAAAAACTGGCACCCTCTTATCTTGGGATGCAATGGCATTTTTTGTTTCAGAATATTAATATTCCATTATTTAGTCTCCAAAAAGTTCTTGTTAACACAAGACATTTTGTTGTTTGAACATACTTCTATGACAAAAATGGACTACTGCTCAATAATGTTTGAGCAAAAGATTCATGGTCCCTATGTTTGACCCTAAGGCTGCTAGATTTCTTGGCAATTTCTTCTTTATAGAATCACAGAAGAAATCAGATAGAAAGGAAATCATTTAGTCCAATCTCCTGCTGAAAGTCAGGATCAGAAAAAGCAAACTAGAGCTTCAATTTGGACTTGAATGTCTCCAAGAATGGAACCTTTCTATTTGAGAAGTATGCGTCAAAAGAACAAACATATCTTAATTGGGCTTTTCCTTGAAAGGCACTTTTAACTTTTTTTTTCCTTGTAATCAAACCTTACGTAGAGGTAAAACAAATTACATTATGCTTAGTATTAAGACTTGTTTTCTATCCAAAGTCTTACCTGATTGTAACATTCCCATATCAAAGACATCCTTCTTGAAGAAAGCTCTAAACGACAAAGGACTTGCACTGCAATCTTCTGAAAGTTTCTCAACAGCTTGTCCAAACATAGAAACTAAGTCATGAAGAGGTCCATCTAAATCAAGCTGAGAAGTAGGAGGTAAAATCAAGCTCAGGCGTACAGAGACTGATGCACAAGATGCAGAACTGGACTTCACAGACTCACAATCAATTTGGAAGCCCTCTGATAACATCTTCTTTGCAAAATGTTTTCTGTGGAGTGGGTCATCAACTACTGCAGTAACATGCCATTCAATGGCAGCATCTCTAGGTAAGTTAGTTACAACGACCACAGCAAGCATCCCACACTCTGCAGCTACTTCACTATATGCTTCTGGATCGTCAACCTAAAAGATAAACAAAATATTTTGCATATTACATAACTGCTAGAAATTAATGTTGCTCCTATTCAGATGATATATTCCAAAAAAGTATCTACAGTACAGCTATTTCATGGTGGCTGGGTTTTGTTTTTGTTTTTGTTTTTTTTCCCTGTAAAATTTCCTTCATATTTAAGTCATCGAGGAGCCATGAATTTATCTGGCAGTTAATATCTGCTCATTTTTTCTATTTAGACTACCACTATGCCTTTATCATGTAAGGAAATTCTGTTCTTAACATATTTAACAATTAAAAATTTTTTTTTTTTTTTTTGTATATGGCAATTTCTGTCAATTTCAATGAACAAAATTTACATTCTTTAAGGAATAGAAATAGTAGTAAGTAATGAAGCTACAGCAGTGGATTAATAAAATATACGTATTTAGTTCAAAATTTGGAATACTAAAGATACAGCTTAGATATAGCAAAGATTCCTTTCAGACAACTGCGAACAGCAGAATGGTCTAAGTATTGTGTCCAGTTTTGGAACTCCCAACACAAGAACTACACGGAGTTGTTGGAGCAGGTCCAGAGGACGGCCACAAAGATAATCAGAGGGCTGGAGCACCTATGATGTGATGACAGACAGAGAGCTGGGGCTCTTCAGCCTGGAGAAGAGAAGGCTCTGAGGAGACCTTATAGTGGCCTTCCAGTACCTGAAGGGGGCCTACAAGAAAGCTGGGGCAGGACTGTTTATAAGGGCAGGTAGCAACAGGACAAGGGGAAGTGATTTTAAACTGGAAGAGGGTAGATTTAGACTAGATATTGGGAAGAAATTCTTTACTGTAATGGTGGTGAAACACTAGAACAAGTTGTCTAGTGAGGTTGCGAATGCCCCCACCATGGAAGCATTCAAGGCCAGGTTGAATGGGGCTTTGAGCAACCTGGTCGAGAGGGAGGTGTCCCTGCCTATAGCAGGGGGGTTGGAACTAGATGATCTTAAAGGTCCTTTCCAACCCAAATCATTCTATGATTCTATTTTTCTAAATGAACCCTTTTAAAGACAAGAGCATCTTCTCAATAGTGGAATTATTTTGAAAGTTTACTCAGTAAGCTAACTCTGAGAAACTGACCTCCTTTTTCTCTAGTGGTATTAATGAAGCGGGAGAGGTTTTCTTCTTACTTCCTTGTAAGAATCTTAGGATAAATCACATTGGAACATGTTGTTAAGGTATTGGAAGTGAATATAATGTTTCAAAACACTTAAGTGCTATGCCATGAGCCAGAGGAAGAAATTGTCAATTTGCAGTCATGTCAACACAAATCAACTGTACTTAAGTACACTATATAGCATTACCTGTAAAACCTAAAATGAGTTCATAAAAGTATTATCTTGTCCCCATATTCTTGCAAAGTATTCTATTATTTATTTTACAAGAATACACAGAGTAGAGGCCTCAGAATGCAGCTGAGGAATCACCTTGCAGTGGGCTGAAGCCCAGCAGGCAATGAAGCTTTATAGCTACTTGCTTGCTCCTCCCACCCCAATGGCATAAATGCAGAAACTCAGGAACTGACATAAAAGCAGTTTGATAAGTGACGTAAAGAGGAGGAAAAAAGGAAAAAATACAAAACAGTTCATGCAAAGACAATCCCTTAACACCTGTCACAAGCAGACCTATGTCCATCCAGTCTCTGAGCAATGGGTACCTTTCCAAAACCCATCTCCTCATTGTTTTAATCACTGTATAAGGTGTCATATGGCATGGGATATCCCTTTGAACTGTTCAGGTCACCTATCTTGCCTGTGCCTTCCTCAGCTTCTTGTGCACCCCCACCCTATTTGCTGTGTGGGTAGTGTGAGGAGCAGAGAAGTCCTTGATGCAGCTCAGACACTGCTTAGATGTACCTAAAGCATGTCATGCACACTATTTTGTCCAATACACAGCACTGTAAGGGCTGCTATGAAGAAATTCAGCTCCATCCAGGCCAGACACACACTTAGGCGTTCTGTAACCTTGTAGTTAAATTCATATACTCATACACCTATTATACGACAATGTCTACTTATGGAAAACAACTCAATTTTATGATATATGCTCTCAAAAAGGATTAATGTACCTTATCTTTATCTGCTTTTTGAATAAATACATTCTAATTTGAAGAATTATAGGTATTTATAGGTATTTATTCTGTTCAGAAGATATTGTTTGTCTTATTTTTTCCTCCATTTTTAGGAGAGACAATATATATATTAAGTGCTTTTGAGATTAGGGATTTATATTATCTTTGTGTACACAGATAATAACTTTTTTATATATACCAATTTGCTTACCCTGCAGTATATATTGTTTATACTGTCCATTGTCTGATCTCTAAAGGAAAAACAATAACAAGGCAAAACTGTCATTTTACCTGAAGTTGATAAGGCCATATAACTCTCAGTACCTTCAATTCACAAGCTCAATTTTCATCCGCTTGCTCTCAACTTCAAGAGGAAGAAATAATGACACGTTACAGGCATTCACAAGGTTATTGACAAGCATTTTCCACAGAATATCTTTGATGCTTGACCCTTGTGAGCTGTTTACATGAAAAATGCACTTACTTCTATATTAACGATAGTGGAGTCTAATTCTATACCAAACATCTAGCAATTGCTTTAGCATTTCTGTTTTTGATATGGGAACAAAAATAGGGATAATTTGTCTCAAATTGCAGTCACTTCAGTTATAAGAAAATCTCACTGAGTACTGTTTGCTTTCAGTACTTTCATTAGGCAAGCTGGGGCTGTTATTAAGGTACCAACACATAAATGTTATATTAGCACTTAACAGGAGGAGCACACAGTATTCTCCTCTAGGAGATGAATTCTAACCTTGTCAATATAATTCTGCTCTGAGTGCTGTAAAACAGTTTGAAAAGACGAAACACTGGAGTTTTGCACTGAGGGAAAAAAAAAAAAGAAAAAAAAGGTATGTTCATTCAGGCTTAAAGGCCACTTTGCTGGCCCAAGGTGCTGTGGCAGTTTAGAAAAAAAGTCTGGAGAAGCTCTCTCAGGTCACATCAAGCACTAAGACAAACTTTTCTACTTCCCTGTACTTGTCTTAGGTTGTTAAATCAATTACTCACTATTTCTGCTTGCCTTCAGCTGCCATTTAGAATATGAAGAAATACATGAAAATTAAGGCCAGGAGAAAGCACATTTCCAAGTTTAACAAACGAGAATCATTCTGAGTGAAAGACTGTTCATGGTGCACCTGTGCAGTACCATAGCACTCATAACCTTTAGCTTTAGAATTTGCACAAAGCACAAATGATAGAGCTACTGGGGACTAACAATCTTTCATCAGCTGCCAAAAATCATACATAAATACTACTAACAGTGACCTCTCCTGACTTATTTTCAAGAAATCACTGACATTTGTGTTGTACATGGATGCTGCATTTGAGTTACCTGTCAGAAATTTACAACTGTCTTAAACAGCTGAATATCGTTGTGATAGCTTCCCTTGTACATGGGGATGAATATTTATGGGTCTGATAAGAAATTCTAATCATATAATGCTGGAACAATATAAGTTTGTATTAAGAGTGAAAATAAGTTACTCTGTACAATTGATTCTACATTGTCATCAGTGAGACAGCACTTTTTGGCAGATACCTACGGTAATAGGAAGAAAAACATGGATTCAAGGTTATTGCACAAGGATACTGCTGTAGATCATTCTACAAACGAGCACGAGTTTCAGCCTAGTCCTTCTCCCACAGCTTCACAGTCTTGAAAAAGAGCAAGCACAAATTGAGGTAGAGGAAGCAGCTTGGCTTGGCCTATTATTCTTGAAAAAGAAGTGTCAAATAATTCTTGGAAACCTCTGTGAAAATCTTATTAATGAGGTGATAAAACAAGGCCAGACAAAGTTGAAAGCAGTGATTCCTTAAAGTATGTACAACCTGAACTTTACAAATCTCTACAAATTTCATTATGCTGTAAGCGTAGCTGCTATTTAAAGGCATTTGCTCTTAAATAACTATTTCCTGGCTAAGAATTAACAGTACTCAAGTGATTTTCAAATTCATGTAAGAGGGTATGCCTGTAAAAGATCCTCATGTCCTGCTATGAGCATTTCCACAGGCAATTTAAACATTTAAACCAAAAACCAACACTGCAAAGTAAATTTGCACTAGGAATAGTTTGTCCGTCAACAGGAAAAATAAACAGAGTTAAAGATTCAGTGGCAGACTGCTGAGGTCCTATGGAGACGGATATTCTATATCATATATATTTACATGCTCGCATTTCACAGAATCACAGAATTGTAGGGGTTGGAAGGGACCTCCTGAGATCATTGAGTCCAACCCCCCTGCCAAAGCAGGTTCCCTACACCAGGTAGCACAGGTAGGCATCCAGGCAGATCTTGAACATCTCCAGAGAAGGAGACTCCACCACCTCCCTGGGCAGCCTGTTCCAGTGCTCCGTCACCCTCACTGTAAAGAAGTTCTTGCGCATGTTTGTGCGGAACTTCCTATGCTCCAGTTTCTGGCCATTTCCCCTTGTCCTATCTCCACTCAAATTAATTATCATTTAAAGAAGGTTCAAGCAGGAAGTCAGCATACTTCCACTGTGAAGGAGATAGCCTCTAAAAATTAATTAATCTGCAACAATGCCCTCTTCCAGGGATCGATGCAAACTGGATAATCTCAGAGACCAGACTATGACAGGATTCTGATTCTGTGTGAAGTGGTAAATCCCAGGACTTTGAAAAAAGACGTGATATGACAGTGATTTAAAGTGTGCGATTGTCTTATTTACCTGCAATTTTATGATAACAAATTTGACTGATACAATACTACAGTAAACACTGAAAAGGGTCCCATGCTATGTTAAGTAACATTGTGGAAAGCCTTCATGGACTGGTTAGTAGAGAATCACAGTAGATGACAGCAGTCAGAAAACCAAGTAAAACATGATGAATTGTTAACAAAAGAATAGAGATCACAGTGGGCTATGTTACGCCACTGTAGA